AAGAACTTTAGGCAGGTCACAGTGTAGCTAGAATTTAACAATGTTGTTTAGATTTTATTACATTTATTTTTAAGGTTCTTTCTTCTTATAAGAAGTAATGCTATTTATAGACAAGTTTCAAGTTTTAAAAGTGAGTCATTTAAGAAAACTATTATGTAAATAAAAGGACAGGTGGCCTTCAGTGTTAACGAAAATCCTGAGGGTGGTTCTCAAATGCCTAATGTCTGGGAGGCACTGCTTTAACACCTGGGAGTGAGTTCAGCTGGAATGCCAGACATTAGGAAGGAGCTCCTGCAGAGAAGACAGTAAGTTTTTACAAGAGGTCTTGATTGAGTCCAGAGAAAGATCGAGGGGCATACAGATTGTTTTGAACTGGTAGATGTCCAGGAAAATTAGGCCAAGTAAATGCCAACTACCTGGTGCTCCCCCATGATGATGCCTGGATCTCCCGTAAAAACAAAATGGGGGTAAAAAGATAGAACTTGTGCACCTAGGACATTGCTCGTGACCTCACCAGAGGCTTTGGAGGAAATTATTCATAAGCAGAAGAGATCCCCGGAACCTTTAAGAGGGACCCTTTGCTCCTGCATCTTTACACCAATTGTCCTTCTAACCACTATGCCGGAGGCCACTCTCCTACTTCCCTTCCTCCGGGAACCATTCTTCAGGTTTCCGTGTGGAGGTAACTGCAACCAGAGCGACACTTCTGGCCTCTTGCCCTGCCCCTCACTCACTCCTTCGCTCCTGATTGGAGGGGGCATCCAGCGCCCCCTTTCCGGATTGGTGGAGCTCAGGCGTTAAGGGCGTGCTGCGCAGCGCTGTGCTCTTCCCCACACCTCCTCCCCTAGGCGGGGGAGCAGGAGAGTTTGCTCGCTGGGAGCCCTCAGTTTCCATTTCCTGGGGCGGGGGGGCGGTTTTCCCTGGGCTGGTGGGGCGCAGGATGTGGAGCGGAGAGCCCATTCTCCAGCCTAGCTTCTCTCCCCACCAACAGCCCTCCAGGATCATTCTCTTTCAGCCATTCCACCTCACTGCTGGAATGGCTGCCGGGTTGGTGTTGGGTTGTGTGGCTCACGCCACAGTCTACCCACTGGTTCCCCACTGATGGCCATCGAGGTCCTTTCCGAACATTCTGCTACTTCAAACTACACCGCCTGTGGACATCCTTACATTTCTTTCTTTCTTTCTTTTTATACATTTTATTTTTAACTATTCTCTACTCCCAGGATGGGGCTTGTTGAACTCCCGAACCTGAGATCCGGATCCCACGCTCCACCGACTGAGCCAGCGAGGTGCCCCCCCGCCCCACACACACTTATTTCTCTGCACACTTGCATCAGTGTATCTGAAGGGCAGATTCCTAGAAGTGGGGGTGCTGGGTCAAAATAGATGCACTTGTAGTTGATTTTGCTCTTACTTTTTTTTTTTTTTACTCAGTTTAGCCTACCAGACACTTGGTGCTATGTCATCCTCCATCTTCAAAGGTGACCTACTGGACCAACTGGTGTGCATGGCCTGGAGCGGGGGGTGGAGAAGACTCCATGTCACTTTTTTGACTTATTCCCACCCATAGTTCCCCAGGAAGTGTAATCCTGGGCTCTACACACCAGCCTCTGCCATCTCCTGGGTCCTTCCCAGCAGAGCGCCCCTTCCCACGACACACACGCATCTTTCACCCCTGCACCCTCCGCACACCCTCTCGGGAGACACTGAAGAGCACACAGCCCCCTGGGCTGGGAGCTGCATGAACACCAACCCACCAAACCCAAGGTGGCACCGAATTTAACCTTGCCATTCACAGAGATTTACTTCCCCCTCCCCAAAATGTCATACTGAATGCCTATCCGTCTTGCTAGCCCTTGTCCTTGTGGGCTTCAGGGCCCGGTCTCAGTTCCCTGGCACAGAGTTCCCTGGAGGACTCCCTTTTGACACCCTCGGCTGGCTCTCCCTTGCACCATCTAGGTCTCAATTCCAACACCCCCTCCTCGGAGAGGCGTCCAGATCACCTGCTATGAAGTACCCACGCCCCCTCCCCATATGGTCATTCCTGTCCCCCTGGCTTATTTCCTTCCAAGGACCTCACGGTCTCAAAATACCTCATTTGTTTCCATGCTTATTATCTATCTCCCCGTTCACTGCTGTGCCCAGTGCACAGAAAGCTATTTGCTATTGTTCATAGTTTTAAAAATGTGTAACTGTGACAGCTCTTGAGAAACTCAAAGCCCTGATCGTCCAGAGGCGGTAACTGAGACCAGGGAGGGCCACACTTGCTGGGATCCCACAGCGAAGCAGGAGCACGGTCAGGACGGGAGCGTGTCCTGGCCCCCACTCCAACGGCCCTTTCGACCTCACCGGGAGACCGCTCAGAGGACAGGAGACAGTCTCCCAATGTCAGTAAGCATTTCCCTGCGGCCTCTGCCACGTGCCCCACAACCCACACCAGGCAGCGCCAGCCGCCATGCGGTTCCTCGGGCGATTTCTTCAGGGGCCTGGCCAGCCCAGTTTCCAAAAGGCCACCTGGATTTGGGCGTTGACCTGTCTGAAGGTGGGAGGCTGTGCTCAGTGA